GCCGGGAGCCGGGAGCCGGGCGCCGGGCGCGACTCCGTTGCCTGCTGGGCTCCGAAGTCCTGGACGGAGGTTGGAATGACAACGACAAGAACGCTGTGAGAAGGAGGGCAGTAGAGGATGCTGGGAAGATCCTGGGTAAATACCCAGCGGATTCCATCACTTCCTCCACGGGAGCCCACGCCACGAGGAAGCATGGACTCCTCCGCTGTCACGGAGGCGCCGGGAAAGGCGTCCGTGAACTGTCACCCTGAGGGACAGCCGAGTCGGGACCGTTCTGTATGGGGCGCGAGAGGCATCGCCAGGGTGGGGGTCACTCCCGTGTCTGCCGTGGGACAAGCTCCAGGCTCCGACTGAGCAGGGCATGGAACAGGCAAATGCATGCGAGAGCGTAATTTCTACTTAAATTTTTTTTTTTGTATTGATTTCAGAGAAGAAGGGAGAGGGAGAGAGAAACATCAAGGATGAGAATCATGGATCAGCTGCCTCCTGCACGCCCCACACTGGGGATTGAGCCCACAACCGGGGCCTGTGCCCTGACCGGGAATCGAACCCTGACCTCCTGGTTCATAGGTTGATGCTCGTCCACTGAGCCCCACCGGCCGGGCCATGTCTGCTCTTCCACTCGGCACCCGGCCTCCCGAGAAGCCGCAGGACGTGCTGCTGCTGGAACGGATGCTGGTCAGCGGGACCCCTCCTTGTTCCGCCACGTGAGCGCTCGCGGGAGTGACAGCGAAGGCACTGGACACCCGGGCTTCTAGGTTGGAGTGACTGACAGTTGACCCTTCGTTGTCCTGTTGGAACAGCTCGGTTCCCGGGGGCGCTGGCTCATTCTTCCCTCCCCTCATCGTCCACTCGCCAGGGTTTGCTCCGCCGCCGAACGCTGGGATGCAGAGGGGCCGCGGGCCGTGCCTGCGGGGGGAGCCCGCGTCTCACGGGGAGAATCGGGGAGGCAGGCTGCGGGCAGACACCGGGGTTGGGACGCGGAGCCCAGGGCCACGGGGGCATCTGTGGAGGGGGAGGCGAGGCCGGAGCCGGCCTGGAGGAAGCGGGGTGGGAGCAGAGGGGAACCGTCAGTGCGGCCGCTGGCGGGTGTCTGGGGAGCGTGGGCAGCGCACGGGGCCTTCCTGGAGCTGCCCCCCTGTGGGGAGTGGCCTTCGCGCCGTGAGCAGCCTCTGCCTCCCGCTCTTGGGGCTCAAATTCCTGCGCTGGCCGGAGTGCACAGGTGCCGGAGCCCCGCCCGCTGCCTCGGTTGGGAGTCTGGTGGCTGCTTTGGCCCCTCCTGGCTGGCGTGCCTGCGGGCACCAGGGCTGCAGGGG